CCAGAAGTTTCCCCAGGCACACATTCACGAGTATGCCAACAGCACGGGCCGTACTACCACGGTCAGTTGACATCATCGCATCCTCCGACACACATTGTATGCCCGTTCACTTGCGACATTTCCAGTGATACATCTCACCGTTGACGCTCGCCATGGCTCAGCTGTTCCCTGATGCATACATACCACACGTGCGTGTGGCAGTTCAATTTGACTGATTGGATTTCCATTCCCAAAGTTCACGAATATGTGTATAGATATATTTTACAATACGTATTAAATTTATAACTGGGCAAAGTTTCCCTGGAAGCACACGACCGGTTTCGCGGTTCTTGCCGCTCGTCAGGCATGCGGATCCGGTAATCTTTTGTCTTTATATATATACATGNCATGTTGATCAAACCCGTGCAACATCACTCTCCTTATGGAAATACTTTTCAGTTTCCAATATCACACTTGTGTAGTGATGGCTATGGGTAAAGTGTATTTATTCCTGACTTTATCTCCTACTGCTATTTTCTTAGTTCTCTTCCATCACTGTTGAAATGTGCGCGACTTTGAGTGTCGTGATAAAATTTGTTATCGTTCCAAAGGTACAACCCAGATTTGGAAAATATTTCGTGCAAAGCAGCTTGGAAATTCATTTCTTCTAATGAACGATTCTTGTTTCATGAGTGTTTACTCTGGTCAACACACGTATCCTGAATGGTTTATCTCTTTTCATTCAGTGCACAGTAAATAAGTCAATTAACGAAAATTTCTAGCTCAATTGATAAGTGATTTGAAAGAACTAAAAATATATTCCAAGAAACATACAAGTTGACCTTGACTTTGAATAAGCGTCTTGTTGTGTCATCTTTCCGAAACCGGATGAAACATTCAATAGATTTCGGCATATGGTTGAAGCCGAGAGGCACATACATCCGATGACTCAGTTGTATTGTATTGTGTTGTATTGTGTACAATTTTTGCAAACACTGGAGCTTACATTTCAGTTCATGACATGAGCAAGTTCTTTGACGTAAACAGAAGCCTAGTTTAGTGCATAGTCAACGAAATTTCCCCATTAAGATGTGAACCAAGAGAAAGGAAACCGATCACATCGAAGCAAGATAATGGTTGCATTCGATCGCAGCTCAGACATGTTGCACACAACCAAATATGGAGGAGAGTGTGGATTGACTAACCGTATTTTCCTCCCGCTACCGTTTGTGAAATGATGGCCCTGTGGGAATCGCAGCTGAGGTCACCTGATATGAGGCCATTATTGAACGCTCCAAAATGCAGTGCACGTATTGGATTTACCAACTAATTCAAATCGCGCCACCCGGTCAACGAATAATTCAGCAGGCGGATAAAGATCTGTTGACCTGGTTTTCCAATGAGTTTCATTTCACTCGTCGAAATAATGAAATATCCATCCCGCCTAACGAGTTGGAAGGGAAGTAAATACTGAGCACCTTCTTGTTGGTATCCTGCACATACCAACCTGGATAGCGCAAAATTTGTTGCACTGATATGGGGTTTTTTCGATAAATTTCACTCAAAATGCAATCGCGGAAGTCACATTTCTCATAGATGAAGTTTAATGTATCTTATCGCTTAAGGATGTTAGTAGCATATGATTAGACTTTGATAAATATTATTATTTTCACATTTTTACAGTATCTGGACGGGTGAAGACAAATGCTGAATTCATTCGATTACCGCTGAGTATTTGAAATTTGAATGTAATCTAAAACTTTTCCCCGCGTTCCAAACAGAGATAGGTTAGCCGCCTGGGCAGTGGTCGTCAGTGTTTGAGTTTCAGCATGGCAAATTGGCAAATTCTGTTGGACAATGAGCTTGGTAGACTTCATGCTAAAGCGACTGTCTCCAGTGTTCAAAAATGAATAGGGGCAAATGGGACATGGACGAGATGAAAGTACAAAGTATCAAGCCTGTCGATCATTTGGATCAATGCATTCTGTTTGTATTTTTACTGTGGCTTTTTTATTTTACGACTGATGCACCAGCCTCCATCATCAAAATCGAGAAATGTCACATCTTTAATGACGTATTACCAATAACAGCCAAGTCATAAATGAATATTATATCAGGTATGTTGCGTCTGATGTGGAACAATATCATGCTAAGCGTTGGGGGGAACACATGTGATGCAAGTCAGAATATAGATATATATATAGAGAGAGAGAGAGGTTTTATATCCTCTTCTCTCCCTCCCCTCCCACCCCCCCGATCTCTGGCATATCGATTGCTACATCCCCGAAAGAGAATTAGAACGGAAACCTAATTTTATCGCCATCCATCTCAATCAACTTTTGTGCGCTTCATACTGGACGGGCAAGGGTGTTTCATCATGAAATTACGTCACATCAGCTTAAACAACCATCATGATGTATCAATCAAATTTATGGATTACATAAGCAAATCAGACTGATGTCCTGAATCTAATCTAACTTAGAGGTGACCGGGTGGAAAGAAATTACCAGGTCTTCGTCAATTACGTAATGACTCGCATAGGTCGATTAATCTTACATGTCAATCGATCGATCGACCTGTTTAGTTTACTTTTCCACTTCTCTTTTGGTTTCTGACGCCAGTATCAATTTGACCCACTGCTCTGTCTGTCATTTCTATCGATCGTGCGGAAATCAGATGATGTACGCACTAAAAAAGGCATACGAAAGTGCTTTTATCTCGTAGTTCGGGGTTTGTCACGGACTGATTGACTAAATCACTATCCTCAGTTTCCAGTGAGCTTTGTTCAGTTGGCCAACCGAGATGTTGCACACGGGAGGTGTCTACGGTGTACTACTGGAGAATTTTCATCTGGGAATTGTGCCACAATCCGACCCTTATCTAAGTCTTATATATAAGTTATCGTTGACGTTGAAGTGAATTTAAAGTAGGGTTGGTCTTCTCGTTCAATCATCAAAATACATCAGTTTGGGGTGTGCTTGTACATTTGTAACTAACAGTTACTTGTGAGCAGCTGTGTCTGGGATACGTGTCTTGGGTTATAATTTACTATCCTTCAAACTAATTCGCCACATCTAATCTTCAGTTCCTCTATACCCACGGGAATTACCAGTGTATGGTTTCTGGATGGAGTGAGGTCCACTGGTAAAGCTGAAGTCTGAAACACGATTATTCGTTTATGTTATTTTACAGGTATATTGTTTTTCGCTCTTAATGAGGAAGTAGTAGAGAAAATACACTAATTTAGCCATCTGTGCAGCTATATCTCACCTGGCAGACGCATCACAGATAAATTTTCGGCACGCATACAAAAGGCTCGGTTAGCATTTGCCAGCTTAAGACATCTTTGGCACCGTCGCGACATCCGGCTGTCTGGGAAGGGTGGAATATATGCTGCAGCAGTTCGGCCAATACTACTCTACGGTGCAGAGACTTGGTCATTACGGGAACAGGAAAAAGATACTGTCGGTGTTTGAACACCGCTGACTACACCATATTGCACGAGTCTGATGGGGACACCGAATAAGCAATGTTTAGGTTAGATGTAGAGTCTTAAATAATCCACTGGAACATGTTTTACGCATGTCATCAAATAAGTTACCACGGCACGCGATTTTCTGCCCAGACAGGAGGCGGTTGGTAAAAGATCAAGGGCGGTCAATCGAAGACTCAGCATGAGGGTATGGAAACTCTAACCAGGAGACTCGGTCACATATGTCCCGTTAATCTCCCTGGCTGGGGACCCCGAGATCATGATAACNTAACCGGTGGTTAGAGACACCGAGTGGTATGGCTGGATGGCGCTCGTGCATCTATTTTCTATTCTCCTAACGCCAGTTTATGAATTCTCTATCTTTCACTTGAATTCGCCTTCAACATTCCAATCTTCATCCTGTTCGTCTTCTCAAATGTGCGACCAAAAGATAGTAACCAAAACCGACGCATATAAATGCATGGATAGGGGTTGTGGAAACTGAAATTGAGTCTGGTAATTTAACTACTTTTGCGATCCCGACCATCCTCTCTGTGTCACCAGATCGTGGGCAGTTCGGTTTGCCTGTAGTGGTTTCTCTATTGATTCTCCCACTCCCTTCTCGGATCTTTCTTTTCTCTTGTTTTTGGCATCCAATGTTACATTTATGAATCAATACTTTCCACGAAGTTTTACTTTTTCAGGTGTTTTAATAGTTGTCTTTGTTGTTGGTAGCGGTGGTGGTCAAGTCTTCTCAGGGTCCCATATTCAGAAGGTCGGACCCTGTCACCATATTTTAGTAGTTAATTTCACTGTCCTCCGGTTCAATACCGTACCTATCCTATCGGGACCTCACATGATTCGTCACTTCAACTCTCAGGATTTATGTCACTGATTTCCACAACCGTGCTATAGGTCCTGCTGATGATGACGTCTCCCATTTTCCTGTTTATCGTACAATACAAAACGAGACAGACAATCGATGTTTTTTATGGTTTGACCAGCCTTCTGATAACGGAAATGAACTTGTACCTTACCGTGTTCATTTATGACTTCAAAAAGGTCTATCTGCATCAGGCCTATGAATCGTAAATTTAGTCAACTCGAGGGATAAGCTACTGCTGTGTTCATGGACGACCTAGTCGATTTTTTGTTCCAATCATAGATTTCCCCTATCTGCTTCTCTCACCCTTTTGGTTGATTGCATTGCACAATGTGCAGTACTTAACCTTGTCACTATTCCTCAAGCACGTCATACTATGTTCTCGTCATGTTTTTCTTTTTTCAAGATCCATGCACTAGTCGAAAATTGTCAAGGCAATGCAACACAGGAAATGCTTCACAATTGGGATATGGGTCGACGATGTACAACGCTTCAGGGAATTCAATTCATCTCGCTTCTATGCCGATACTATTGCATGCGAACGGAAGCGAAGACAGCTTTCCGTGACATGGCTAGCGGACTTGGTCAACTGGCCAGTTTGCAGAATGTGTTATGCCGAAGTATCCTCGGTTCCATGTACGTGTCCTGATGTGTGTTTGCGAGCGTTTCTGCCATGTGTTCGTTCGGTTTTGTTATTTTTGATGTTCTGCACCGTTATTCGTTCATTCTCTGTCCGCTGTTTTTTTAAGCGGAATAGAATACTGATCAGATAGACCAGCTTCCGGGATGCCCATCAGGGCCTCGGTCCATATTGTCGAGAAACTACTTCCCACAGGGCTAGTCACACATGTCCGTACTAGCCACGGGTTGATTCAGGTTCGTGACCAAGCACACGTGACCATTCGGTGTTCCATCGATCCAGATATCGTTCTTCTTTGAAGCAGACCACAAGCCGTGGCCTTAAAAGTTTTGTAATGAACTGTATCTAACACTTGAAAAATAGACCACATCCGAATCGTACAGCTTTTCCCATAGCGTGTGACTGGACGATCACCCTTTTTGCATCGCTTTCTCGGCGCGCTTGACGTGTACAGATGCATTTCAAGCGTTCACGCTCATCGATCGCAATCACGTGACATCGCATGCGTACGCACCGACCACGGATGTCCACGCAAGGTAGCAGGACACTGAATCAACGGTTGTTCATCGGTGCACCAGTGGATCCGTGCTTCTACGTGCTACCCGGCCCCGATCTCTCTCTCTCTCTGTGCGTATGTGTGTGAAAGACGCAACCGACTGACCACAGGATGCGAATCCTCTCCGAAGATCACGTGCTAGTTCAGAGTTAGATCAGCCCAATTCATGCGCATCACACATAATAGCTGCCCACGAACAGCGAAATCTGTGCCGTCTTGATTCCAGTAGTGTAAACTGTAGGTGAATCGAATGTCCGTCCCAGATCACAACGTTTGATTTGACTGCCGTTTTTTTAAGTATCCACCTCGGCGAAAGCCCCTTTATGGTGACCTATCGAGGTGTTATACTGCAAGTTTTAAGTCTGAACGACGTAAAGCGTAACGCGATGTTACAGTGACGACGCTTTTAAAAACAACACGAGTTTTTTTCACACGGATTAACTTTATTGATCTGTTGCAGGCACCGGCTGTTGAACACCAGTACTTTACGAACATGGTAAACACTGAACGACCAGGCTTCGCAACAGTTTTAGACTAGTCGCCACCCGTTTAACGTGATGCCTTGTCCGAGACCTGATCTGTTTTGTTTAATTCGAGAGCGTTTTGTGAAGCTGCAGAAACACCTTCGTGACGTTGTTTTTCCACAGCCACACGTATTTTATTTGACCCATTGGGAGCGTCATGAAGCCTAGAGATTAGAAACACGCTCAACCTGTTGACCGTTGTAATTCACTATAGTTGTGTGGGTGAGGTGAAGAAAAGCTTTATTCTCATGTGCTGATCTCCAGACCAGTGACTTATGAAAGTGGTTCCACGTCGGTTTGTTACCCATGATTACAATGGCACCATCTGTAGAATTACCTGGAATCAACTGGTCGGGTTAAATAATAAATGCTGGTCGCATCACCCGGCGTAGTGTATGATTGAACAGCGCTGGCGAACCAAAATATAATAAACCAATGACAATAATCTAAGTAGTAACTCTATGTTCATTCGAATCCCGTTATTAAAATTTCAAATCTACAGTGTTTCTGTGGTAAATTATCCTTAATTCATGGTTTTTATTCGTAGTACCGACTCGTTTACTGATTAGCACAACGTTGCGTCCCAACGATCAGAATACACTTTTGTTCCATCACAAAGGGTCTACGATCGGCGGAACGGCCGGTGCATCCTGAGACCGAAAACTGAACGAACACACGATGAAACAGACCTGCACACACCAGTAACTCGGAACAGCCTAGTGACTGCACAAGAATCACGCGAATGTGCCCAACAGTACACATCCCAAAGCCCCAGCCGAGTTACGGTAGGAAAGTAGACCTTCAGACGAGGTTGTATATTCGACTCGACCCAAAGGCGATTGCAATGGGCAGCTCATCTTTTTACATTCATTTTTATGGCCGGCTGTCAGTGACCTTGGAAATTAGCTCAAAAGTTCCAAATTTTGGAGGAATGAACCAATCAGGGGCAAGCACAGTCAGTGGTGCGAAATTAGGCTGTTTGCGTGTAAATTTGGAAATTTGAATTTTTGAATTGCTAATGAGGAATCAGTGTTCAATCGGATTCGTTAATTACTTCATTTACGCTTGTTTTCCGTGGGTCCGTTTTCCCAATTAAACGACCATGTATGTAAGTAAAAAATAAAGCCAACTTCAATACTTGTCTAGTCTTGCCATAATTGACTGTAACCTTATTCAAGAAACCAGTTCAAGTTAGGAAATGCATTCGTAATCTGGGATGTCACTAAGTGGTATATGTGACTGACTATTATGACCAGCTGCCCGACATGAGTGAAGTGATCGTATACACGGCTGCTCCACTTTTAAATAGTTTTCACAGTATAGTGGAATATGAAGTAGTTCAGAACGAAAGAGTATTCTGGAGAGGTTGAGTCACTGTGCTGCGATTTGGTATGTCAGAAAACAAAGCATGAAACAGATTCAGTTTAAACATAACCTGTGAAATGTTATTACAATCGCTCACTGCTGGGCGATGGTTGCTCAAAGTAACGATACATCGTATCAATTATCCGCTAGATTGGTTTCGCTCCCGTTCATTGCATGTGCACACACGCGGACGGGCACAGACGCATTGAATCAGATTTCAGTTGAGGCTGCTCCGTGATCTTGGCGACCTTGGTCTGGCTTGTTTCTCATCCTCGATCTTCGACCCCTTTTTGATGAAATAAAGTGCATTCTGGTCTTTGGGATACCGAGTTTTGTTAATCGATAAACAAGCTGCCATTCACGCTTAAACATCATGGGCGAAGGATAAATATTGTTTTTTCTTCTTTTTACTTCTTTTTATTGAATATACAATGATACAATTTTCAGGGACTGGGAATTGGGCAATTAAAGAGCTGCCATACAACACAAAATGGGACAGACCAGGCTGTTAGTTCAACAGTCACGGCTCGATATGGTTCCATTGCGATCGATCAGTGGGAAGTACAACTGAATGAACAAGCGGATAGACCAAGTCCAGTTTTCAGTCAGCAAGGACGAGGTCTGAATGTGTGTTTGTGTGATGAGCTAGTAAGATCAGCTGATCAATACCTTTGTTCAGAGCTTAAACCGACTTGTATTTTTGTTGATTTTATTCATGAGATATCGCAAACACTTATATAGGGCACGTAATACGGGTGAGATGTTTTGTACCTCATCAAGTCATCCATTTTGGGCATTTCACCGTGATGCATAGACCAGTTCACATCCTCAGTTTGTTGCATGTGAACAATTGGAGAAATGAGTTCACCAACGTACCCAATCGTTCTATTATGATTGGTATTAGCTGAGTATTTATAACTGACGTAGGCCTAAATTCAAGTTTTCAGGAGAAAATATTCTGTACATAGTGTCATCAGCCGTCGGGGATGTAGCTCAGTGGTAGAGCGTTCGCTTTGCATGTGAAAGGCCCCGGGTTCGATCCCCGGCATCTCCACTGAATTTTTTTCCTTGTCAGTATAGTTGGCATGCTATTCCACACACACAGCGTCATCACTGGCGCTGGTGTTGGCGAGAGAGAGAGGCAT